AGGAAGCCAGCCATGGAGTACGTCTGGAGGCTATGGAGATGGAAATTCAGGAACTTAGGGCTTTGGTGGCCAGCCAGGCAGCTATTATTGAGAGCTTGAGGCAGCAAACCCAGGGAAAGGCGGACAGACCAGAGAGCAGCCGGCAGGGAGAGCAGAGGCAGCCAGGACAGGGATTGCCAGGACAGCCATCTGCGACAGAGCCTCGCCAGGAGCCGCCTATGGGGAGAGTTATCCTGGAGCCAGAGGAGGCGAGATCCCAGAGACAGGCAGAGAGAGAGGCGTTCGAGTTTAGAGCCCCTACTGAGCTCGCGACGCTGCCGGTGGCGGCGGCAGGCCCGGTCGTACCTTTGCCAGTAGAGGAGGGGCTGCCACCATCTAGCAGTGAGTCGGCTCAGGGCTCGGCAGAGGGATCCATGAGCATGCTCCTTGAGACGGTGCATACTATGCGGGAAGAGGTGAGTTTGTTTTCACCTGAGCAGAGGATAGAAGAGCCTCTTGAGAGAGAGATGGGGATTGAGGAGGAGGGTGCCATCGAGGGTAGACTCCAGCGGATAGGCACACCTGAGTATGGACCAGAGGAGATTGAGGAGCAGCCCATGGCAGTGCCAGGGGCGACACTCGAGAGGAGGCCTCAGAGGTTGGACACGCCCGAGTACGTCCCAGCGACAGAGGATTTGAGAGGCAGGCTAGGATCTTGGGCTACTGGATCTAGGTCTGGTGGACCGGTTCCTGGGATAGAGCAGCAGGAGGTCGCTAGTACCGCAGCTCCTCAAGCAGAGCAGCAGGGAATTGTCAGTACCTTGGTGGGATCTCCTTCATCGCCACCTCCTCAGCCCAGGAAGAGGAAGTTCAAAAGAAAGGTAGATCAGCTATGTTTTTACTGCAAAAGGGACGTGCATCTGGCTTTGGACTGTCTCGAGTTTCTTGAGGATAAGGCAGCAGGGAAGATCTCAGAGGTAGGGGGTAAAATGTATGATAGACAGGGTAGGATAGTAGAGAAATCCGCAGATGGACTTAGGGCTCAGTTATATAGGCAAAACCAGGAGGAGTTGAGGAGGTAGGGCTCGGTTTTGTCTATATAAGTGAGCGAGCATTTTGTGGGGTATCAACTTAGGTTCTGTGTGATACCCGTTTTTGACTTAAAAGACATTTTGATGATTACTGTTAATCTAGATCTGAACTCTAATGTTTCTACTGAGTTGAGGTTTTGAGGGTCAGGGTGGTTTAGATGAGGCATGTACATATTTAGGTGGCCTACGCCCTGGCCTTTGAGAGACAAATCTGACATGTATTTTAAGGGTAGTTGTCAGTGTGGGTTTGGTGTGGCTTGAGTTGAGCAAGCTATGATTTGGAGACACTTTCTGTGTGAGACATTGTACTCCCTGAGTGTATATTATCATGAGGTTTCCTTCTGGGACCATTTTTATATGTGACGATCACTTGTCTCTCTCACATGTGTGATTGTACTCTGATGTATGATGAGTTTGTGTGGACAATGTGTAAAAAACCTTTTATGTATCTTGGGTATTGTGAATATGATTGTAAGTAAAACTGTCTACTCCTCGGTATACTTGTGCGACCTGCCCATGGCAGCTGATAAGGCAGAGTATAAGGGGAGGAAGCGCAGTCCGTCTGTGAAAGTTATCTAAGTTGTGATGAGGACCCATAAGATGGTCTCTCAGTGATGTTCTGTTTTATGATGGGACCCCCTTAGATTTTGGAAAAGAGGGGATATTTTGTGATATTTTGTGATGTAACGAAACCCCTCATGATTTTGAGAGAGGGGGTGTTTTGTTTATGATGAGACCCTCGTGATTTCTGGAAGAGGGAATGTATTGTTTTATGGCGAGACCCCTCGTAATTTTGGAAGAGGGGATGTTTTGGTTATGAAGAGAGCCTTTTTTTGGATTGTTGGAAAAGGGGAGTGGTTTTTTGTTGAAAGACTCATCCTCAGAAGTGAGTAAATTGATTTATGGCATGATGAGTTGTTCGATGGGTAATAAAGTCTGACGGAAGGGGACCACATTTTATTTGAAATGTTTGAGAAAGTCGCAATGAGTACAGGGCGAGAGATGTCTCAGGGTGGGTGGTTGCTGGCTCTGATCAAGTCAGGGGTCACGGCCTGGTGGATTTAGCGGTGATTTTGCTTGTAAGCGTGCGAAGGAGGCCATGCCTATTGAAGGAGGGCTGGTAAATGCCTTCGGACCCCTGCGTATCGCGCAGTGGGCCTGTGATTTTGTTTTGACACACCCGTTTAACCACTGATGCTAATTCNGATGAGACCCTCGTGATTTCTGGAAGAGGGAATGTATTGTTTTATGGCGAGACCCCTCGCGATTTTTGGAAGAGGGGGTGTTTTGGTTATGAAGAAAGCCTTCTTTTGAATTGTTGGAAAAGGGGAGTGGTTTTTGGTTGAAAGACTCATCCTCAGAAGTGAGTAAATTGATTTATGGCATGATGAGTTGTTCGATGGGTGATAAAGTCTGACGGAAAGGGGTCACTTTTTGTTTGAAATATTTGAGAAAGTCGTCAGGAGGAGGCCGAGCTAAGCCTGCCCGACGGCGTGCCTAAGAGGAAGAAGTACGTGGTCCGGATGGAGGAAGGCTTTGATGTGGAGCGGATGGTGGACAAACTCCTGGAAGGCCATAATGACTTGATGAACCTAAAGGACATCCTGGCGTCGGCGCCAAGGCTCCGTGGTGAGTTGAAGGGGCGACTGTCGCGAAGGCTGGTGCCAAATGTCCATCTAAGTACGGTCCTGCCTAGAGAGGTGGAGTGGACTGAGGCAGGGACAAGGATGGATTGGAAATGTGTGGCGTGCGGGCAGGTGGATTTGGTGATAAGGAACCAGAAGTGTACCGGGATGGTGGACACGGGCGCAGAGATGAACATCATCAGGGAAAAGGAGGCAGTAATGATAGACATGGAAATCGACCGCTCGGATCATGGCATGCTGCACGGCGCTAACTGCAAGGCCGCCTTTTGCGGCACAGCGTCAAATGTGATTGTAGAGATTGGGAAGGTGCGAGCCAGGACTTGCTTTTTCGTTATGCCCGATGTCGATCACCCCATCCTTCTGGGGTGGTTGTTCCTGTGCCGGACGAAAATGTTGATCTTCAACAAGCACGACGGAACAATGATCCTGCTCCTGTGCGACCCGGTGTGTGGGAATTATGAAGTGATCACCCGTCGGAACACGGGGCCGGGGAGCGGGAGGAATAGGCCCAATCTAGGCTCGTTCACCTTTGAGGTATCAAAGAACGAGCGGAGACGGCTTTGGGAAGTGCCTGAAGAGAAAGACAGAGCCGAGGTATTGACGCTGAGCCTCACGGATGTGAACAAGGCCATGGAGGTGGTATCGGCTCACGACATGGCGGATCCGGAGGCCATTAAGGCATTGAGGGAACAAGTTTTGGAGAACCCTCAGGTGGGGGAGGTGGAGTTGGTGTATCGGCTTCTGCGAGGGAGGGGAGGCCCTGCGATGGCCCAGGCCCGAGCGACAATTCGGCCTTTCTTAGGGGAGGGCTTAAGCAGGGTTCCCAAAGTCGGTACAAGACCATAGATAAGAAGTGCCGCCCAGTTCCCGTGCTTGTCACAGAGGATGAGGAAGCCTACTACGAGCGGGAGCGAGGGTTGATACGGCGTATGCGGGAGCACGCGTTGGTCGGGCCGTGCCGTATCAACGACGAAAATGAGGAGAAGCTGATAATTGGGGAGCCCGACTTCCTGTCGCCCCAGGAGAGAGCGTTAATGGTGGGGCTGATAAAGAAAAGGCACCGCGCGTATGCATTCAACGACGACGAGCGTGGGAGGCTGGATGTGGACAAGATCCCGATGATCAGGATCCACACGGTCTCACATGAGCCATGGAATCTAAGGGGCGCGCGGTACCCCAATCCGGACGAGGAAAAGATGGTGGTGGACTACCTGGACGGCAAGATGCGGATGCACGTGGCCGATTATTCCAGTGGGTCGTACGCGTCGCCTTGGTTTTGTTTTATTAAACCAAATGGGACGCTAAGGTGGGTGCAGGACTTGCAGCGGCTAAATGCAGTGACAGTGCGGGACGCGAGAGGATTGTCGAACGAGGACGCATTGTCAGAATCGTGTGCAAGGAGACCTATAATCTCGCTTATAGACCTCTACTCGGGGTATGACCAATTCCCCGTATACCCGCCAGATAGGCCCGTAACGGCAATGCACACTCCCAGAGGGCTGATTCATATGAACGTGGTGCCTCAAGGTTGGACGAATGCAGTGGCGATGGTGCAAAGGCACATGATCAAAGCCATGCAGACGGTCAGCCCACATATCACTCAGCCCTATATCGATGACCTGGCGGTCAAAGGTCCGAAGGAGAAGAAGGAAGACAAAGTGATGCCCGGTGTACGGCGATTTGTCTGGAAGCATGTCCAAGACATCGATCGGGTTCTGGGGTTATTAGAGGAACATAACCTGACGGCGAGCGGCCCCAAGTCGAAACATTGTATGAGGGAGGCCACGATTCTAGACTTTGTCTGTAATGAGAGTGGGCGAAGGCCTGATGTAAAGAAGACAGACAAGATCCTTGAGTGGTCGGTGCCCTTCCGCTCAATAACAGATGTGAGGAGCTTCCTTGGAACGTGTGGATTCTGGAGGAGCTTCGTGAAGGACTTTGCCACGAAGACGGAGCATTTAAGGAAGTTGATGCGCCAGGATCAAGAATGGGTCAGGGGCGAAGACCAGGAAGAGGCGGTCGGTAGGATGAAGGGAGAGTTTAAGGAAGGAGGCTTGGTATTGGGGGTGCCAAATTATGAGGCCACGGAGGAAAGACCATTCGTCATTGAGACGGACGCTGGGCCAACTTCCTTGGGATGAGTCCTGATTCAGGCAGATACTGACGGGAAGGAGAGGCCGCTGAGATTTGAGGGATGTACCTGCTCACCAACACGTTCCTGCAGGGGGACCTCGGTCGGAAGGGCTCGTTCAGTCGTGAGGCAGGAGAGATTCTAATTCCCGAAAGCCAGGACGACAAATTTGAAGAGGGAGAGGTCAAAGAGGCGTTTCAGACAGAGGATTACGATGGGATTTACCGGGAATTGGGGTTGCTCCTATCATGTGAGATGAAGGATAGAGATGTTAGTGTCAAGGCCCAGAAAATGAGGCACCTCTATGTGGTAAGACACGGCCACTTGTTTATAAAGCGGCAAGTCGGGAACCCAAAGAGGATTATATGCGGGAGGAACCGGTAGATTGATATCATAGCGGCCTTGCACGATGGTATAGCAGGGGGGCACAGAGGGATAGGTGCCACATGCGCTAAGATAAGCGAGCTATACCATTGGGATGGGATGCTGACGATGGTTATCAAATATTGCCAGTCCTGTATACCTTGTCAAGAAAGGTCAGCGCAGAGGCCTGGAGAACCCCTACACCCAAGGTTAGAAAGGGAGGTGGGTGCGGTCGTACACCAGGACCTGTTATTCATGCCAGCAGGGGAGAATGGGTGTAACTACCTGCGATACCCTTTTGTCAAGGAGTTCGTGATGGATCGAGGATCCGAGTTTACCTGCCATGAGGTGAGGACGTTGCTTGCAGGATATGGCGTAGTGGCCAACTATACTACGGTCGCGCACCCTCAAGCGAACGCTGTCGGTGCGAATACCCTTACAAGGGTATCCGCCCTGGTTTTTGCAAGTAACAGAAAATTGTTTGGCTTAAAATTTAAGTATACCGCGCTAAACACGGCTGCGTTTGTAATTGCGTTGACTGGGTGGTTGACCACAATAGTGAGTGTGTGGGCGCGCAAGTTTAAGGCGCGCGTGATTCTTTTCTGTTGTTCATCGTAAAGCCGGCCCGGACCTCGATCATTTTGCTTAGTGATATTATTATTATTTTTTTTTTTATTAAGCAGGAATTAAGGATATTTTCGTTTGATTGGTACATTTGACCGAGTCAAGCGCGCGTGCAGAGAACGACCCCGACGACGGCATCGGTAATAACGGCGCGATTTCGTGCGGTAAGCGGGATGTCGTAGGACGATAGCGCGAGGCAATTATGGCACGGTGTGAGCAAGCCAGCGCGGGCACTGGGAGCCACACAGCCGTTTGCTGGCCCAAAGCGCCGCGCCACACTACCTCGTATGGTACTCTCCGGGCACTAGTCTCAGGCTTGGGCTTAGCCCTATGGGTTACGACATTTGGGTTGGCAATACAGAGGTTCGGGGATCGAGGCCGGCGGACGCCGAAGCGACAGCAGCAGAGCGGTGTGGAGGAAACCGAAGGGTTGAGGGTCCTGTGGGGCTATTCCCCCCGGTTTTGCTTACGGGTGCGGCGGCGGGCCCAATCAGCAGGACTGGCGAGGTGCCAGCGACCCCGCGGTTCCCCGACATTACTGCTATTCTATTTTATTTTTCCCTTTCTGTTCTGTTCGTCGGCTGCGGTAGGAGCGCGTGGGGAGGGGGTGTTATATTCACAGATTGCCTGGAGTGCAATTACAAACTGTTTTCGCGACCACGCCTGAGCTGCCCATGTTTTTATATCATTTTTGTTTACCTGTTTTTCTTAAAACCCCGCCTCGTTTTGCCTTGGGACGTGACGTAGTAGGGGGTGACAGGCCCCAAGAGCCTATCTTAGAGGGTACACCGTTGAACTGTCGAAAAACGGACTGCGTTTAAACCCAGATGATGGGCCTTGTTGAGTAAAAGTCGAATATTCTGAATTGACTAAGGGCCGGGGCTGATTGACCCCGTGGCCCGGGTTATGTCCTTCGGGACATCCGTWAAAATTGAAATAATGTAGAGAAGGCTGGCGTGGCTACGGGCGCTAGGCGCCGTAGTGGGCAAAGTCACGGGCAGTGGGTGTACCCGCGAACTGTCCGAAACACAGGCCGAAAGGCTTTGGCACTACGACGAAGGAACCTGTCCGAGGTTCTGCCACAGGGGTACATGTGAAGCGGGTGGGTAAAACCCGGCAGGATCAGATAACAGCAATGTTGCTATGCCGACTACCTCGTCGGACTTGGGTATAGGGGCGAAAGACTAATCGAACCGTATAGTAGCTGGTTCCCTCCGAAGTCCCTCTCAGACCGGCTGACTGTCGGGGCAAACGATAGTGCAGCGTGGGTGGCCGGCGCTGTGAGAGCAAAGGCGGGGTGGTACAACGACGGATGAACCCGGACGTGGGCGGGCGGTGATAGGGAGGACTCGCGATGGAGTAAGGGAGTTGGACAATCGAAGGTGAGGCGGCCGGGCACGCATCGAACCGACGGGCGCTGGGACAGGAGTCGGTCGAACGACACCGGGCAGACCAGCGAGCTCCAGAATAGATTGGGAGGCCGCGCCCAGCTATTCATTCACTCCTGCTGGAGCCATGCCAGAGCGCTGCCACAACGGTTCGCACTAGGAGGTCGGGGGTAAGCCGATGGGGAACAACGGGCAGCGCTGTATCAGAGGGTTCTTGGCAAGAGAAACCAGGCGGGGTGGATCTGGACGGGGGGCCCTACCAGGTGAGCGGGATAAGAAACAACGGAGCTAGCATCGGGCGACAGGCAACGGGCGACGGGCCAGTGAAAGGAGAACGGAGATGGCGAGGCGGAGAGGCTTGGGCGCGTTGGAGAACGAGGAGCGCTCGTGTTAGTCTATGGCTCTATGTAAGCGGAAGGTGGTTTAGGGGGGTTTTGCCCCGGGCGAGTGTGTTAGTCATGTCGGATTAACTGGTAGGTTAGTAGGATAGGCAATAAGGGGAGAGCGAACTGCGCCGAGATGGCTATGGGAGGAGAAAAAGTAAAAACAAAAGCATAGAGCCCACCCGTTTCGTGATGAAAACGGGTGAGGGAGGATACAAACCGGGGGTTTCTAAGGAGGGCGAATCCAATGAAAGGGTTAGATTTAGAAGAGGATTAGTAAAACGGGAGTTAGGAGAAAGTGGTGTTGTGTAACGGTGAGGAAGAGAACGATCCTTCGCTCGTTTCGTAACAGAGTCGAGCGGAATAAGGTGGAAGTCATGGTTTTTTTTTGGGTAGGGGAAATTAGACTACAATGTGAAAACTGGAGTTAGTATGTTAGTATTAGTGTACAAGAATCGAGGATTGCGTTGTGTATAAAAATAAAAATAAAAAAAGAGGAAAAGACTGGGAGATATGAATGAACCTGGACGCGTTTCTGCTTCATAGTCATTCGTAGGTGCTGATGGTGAAGCAGTGAGTAGGGCGGGCTAAAGGTGTGCTCGAAGGTTTTGGACTCTGGTGAGGTTGATGGAAGCGTGGGATTTCGGGAGCGAAAGGCAGACTGGATAGTATGAAGGTCGTGGGCTGTGTGTTGAGAGGGAGAGCGACTTCAGAGAACGACGATGAACCTGCCTTTACTTTAACGGGAGGTTCACCCGATTTTAGAAAAAGGGGATAACGACAACGTTGGGGATTTACCTGTTGACCGGTGCGTCGCTTAAAAGGCCAGCGGGAAGCAGCGTGAGGCCGACTACGCTATGTACAGGGGGAGAGTGAGGCAAAGAGAAAGGGAGAGGCCGCTTAGCTAAGCCTCGCATGGAGGGAGAACCTTTATTTGTCCACGATTGCCATCGACTGTGGAGCACGACATGGCTGTACTCCAGCACCGTGGGGGATTTTCCCTGCTGATGATACTACTGCATTCGGATTCGTGACTGAATGAACCTGGCTGCGTATGGTGGCAAGGTGCATTCGGGTGTTGTAAGAAGGGGGCGAAGGAAGTAGAATACTTACCTGCATAAGGCGTGACTCGTAGCTGACTCCCGCTGGGGATGAAAACACAACATGAGAGAGGGAGAGAAAGAGAAAACTGTGGGTTTATTTGCAGGCGGGTGTGAAGCTGCGGACTGTGTATCTGTGTGAGACTGTGGACTGTAGGGCAACGGGCTAAGGACTACAGACTGCAAACTGTGGACTACGGACAGTGGACTACAGTTTATAAACTAAGGACTACAGATCTGCAGACTGTGAACTACGCAGACTGTAGGCTACAGAACCACGGACCGTGAACTACGACACTGTGTTTTACTGCCGGCTATTACTGTGTGCTGTTGTATTTTGTTGCGGGACTATTGCTGTACTACCAGGCTATTGCTAACCGCCATACGGCGGTGTTCAGGTTAGAAAAAAGTATTGGGAGTTGGGGAAGGAGACAGGCGCCGAGAAACGAAGGTCCGTCAGGGAGGGCTATTCCGGCAGGATGGCACGTTTTGACCACGCTGTTCTTTTGGCTGCCATCGCGGGGCCCTCAGACGATCAAAGATAACAAGGCCCTCTCCAGTGAGATTGAAAGCACCCCTCTTGTATATGAGAGTCTCAAACCTTCTGCTTCTACCCTTTTCACTCTAAGTCTAGTCCTGTGGGTCTGAGAGGAAGGCGGCAGGCGGGATTGCAACCCGTAGGTCCGCATCAAGACTTTGTGGGGAGTCCACCCACCGATTGCGGGAGCTCTGCCGGAATCTAGGCGAGGTTCTAGAGGCAGGGAACCTTCAGGTAAATCATCTTTATCTGTATAAACCCCACTACTACCCATGTTTGCCTATCTCCC